TTGCTGGGGCCCTCCCTGATGGTGCAGCGGGTTAAAGCGCAGCACTAAGAAGCTAAAGCCACTTCCGCATGAGTTCGATCCCCACCTGCCCCTGAGGTGACCCACATGGCCAGGCAGACCTCTCTGGACCTGCCCGCTGCCCCCCTCAGCAGTGTACTTCATTGATCTGCCTGTTCTGCTCCCTACTCTGTCTCATGTGAAGCCTCTATCATCCCCACACCTCTGGCCTGTACCCCAGTTCTGTATGCATAAATAAATAAATATTTTTTAAAAGAGTACAGCTTGCTGAAGGCTCAGATGATGGTTAGCATGTTTTAGTAATAAAGTGCTTTCATTTAAAAAAAAAGATTTATTTATTTATGCATACAAGGGCTGGGGTGCAGGGAGGTGAGACCACTCACCAGAGACAGAGTGGGGAGCAGAACAGGCCAACTGACTGAAGTACACTGCTGAAGGGAGCAGTGGGCGAGGCAGGAGAGGTCTGCTGCACCATGTGGGTCACCTCTCTGGCCAGGGATTGAACTTGTGTGCAATGACTGCCAATAACTTCATAGTGCTGCGCTTTTAACTCCTTGAGGCACCAGGGAGACCCAATAATGTATTTTTAAACTCAGGTATGTACATTGTTTCTATTTAGACATGCCATTGCACTGTACTAGACTACAGAATAGTAGAAACATAACTTTTTTTTTTTAAAGATTTATTTATTTGTGCATACAGAACTGGGGTACAGGTCAGAGGCTAAGGGGCGGTGAGAGGCTTCACCAGAGACAGAGTGGGGAACAGAACAGGCAGATGGACAAAGTACACTGCTGAGGGGAGCAGCGGGTGGGTCAGGAGAGGTCTGCCACACCATGTGGTCACCTCTGGGGCAGGCAGGAATTGAACTCATGCAGAAGTGGCTTTAGATTCTCAGTGCTGTGCTTTAACCCGCTGCGCCACCAGGGAGGGCCGAAACATAACTTTTATATGCAGTGGTATGCAAAAAAGTTGTGACACTTAATTGCAGTGTTCACTTTATTATGGGGATCTGGAACTGAGCTGGCCTCCCTTCTGAGGTATTGCCTTTGCAGTGGGAGGGTTCAAACAGCTGGAGACTCAGCTGAGTACCTCCTTCTCTCCATGACCTCTGAAGTAGGGTGGCTTCAAAGTAGCCAGGCCTCTTCCAGGTCAGCGCAGAACCAGCAAAGAGCAGGGAGAGACAGAGCAAGACCAGTGGAAAGTTTTTATGACTAGGCCCATGAGGTCATATTATTTGTGCTTTTCTCTATTAGGAGAGGCCATTGCATGGGTCAGCCCCGTTTCAAGAGGAAGGACTACTTATCTAGCATGTACGTTGGAGGAATTTTCACATCATACCATAAGATGAAAGTGTAGGATGTAATTTATTGATATGGTCACCAATGGAAAATAGAATCTGCCGTACCAAACTCTATTGGCTCTGTAAAAGGGAAAAAATAACTTCAAAGCAATCAAGCTAGAAAAATGAAGGGCAATCATGAGCTGTCCAGTGCATTGTTTTATGTCAGCATGTCACTGCCATCATTCAATAATTTGTGGTCCCCTGATCAGTTTAAGCATGTCAAAAGCATGGTAGCAATGTCTTCTATTTAGAAACTAATCTGAGCTGTTACTGTCTCATCTGCCCACTGATGCCCTCACAATAATTTGCAAACTTCTTAATATGGTTAATAAAACACCTGGCCTTGTCTATCCACCTTCACCTTTTGATGCTTTCTCCTTTGTTCTTTATACTACAGCTGCACCAGACTACTTTCTAGTCTCCAAACTTTCTTTCGCCTTTAAGTCTTTGTTCACACATGGCCTCATCTGGGACTCTTCTCTGTCCCCATGCCTTATCCTGAATTCTCTGCGTGCTACTCATTTTCCTAGAATCAGCTTCTCTAAGATAGCCTCTCCTTACCCCCCGCCCCCACACACCTAGACTGGCTAGGGCTCTTATCTCCTATCTGATGCTCAGAGCACCCTGTGCTTACACCTAGGTCCTGCAGCACCAGCTAGCTAGGCCATAGCTCTCCCTCCATCACCCTGTGTGGGAAGATGCAGCTTTCTTTTCTTCACTACTATGCACAGTGCTTGAAGCACAGCAGGAGTTCAACAAATATTGGTTAGATAAATGGATTTATATCTTAAATAGCCCACATCAGGGCTCAAGCAAACAGCTCGCCCACAAACCCAAGATTGCTATGGCAGCGTCCTCTGCCGCATCTTGTAACTGAAATAGGGCCAAAGCTGGTTGGGATAGTTTAGAATTTTCGGGAAAATAATGACTACTTGACTGGAGCTTCTGTCAACCTCGAGCACTCAATCCAGAGCAGAGTCAGGATGTGGCTCCAAGGTGTCGCTTTGCAGCAATAGGTGCAAAGGTGTCGGTTGTGAGCAGACATGCTTGTGAGGAACATGCTCAGCAAGACCAGTGGGATGTTTCCTTGCTGTGCCTACACATAGAGCCTACTTCTGGAGCAAGTACAGAACACAAGCCTGTGCCACACCAGCACTGCTCTTGCCAAGCCCTGAGTGCTGAGCTCATGTGCCAGGAAACAGTGACAGCCACGTAACTGATCTCCTGGCTCCAGCCAAGGCTTTTCTGGGTACACCAGGTTATCACTACTTTGCTTCTCTTGATAGAATAGCCTTTCCAGGCTCTATGGGTTAGCACTAAATATTGCTCCATTTGCTCTTACCTTTCTGTATCACTAAGTACACAGAGAGGAAGGAAGTTAGGGATGATAGGCAAAGCTCTGTCTCAACTCATAAATTGTATTGCTTTGAGGAAGTCCTAAGTGGAGTTCCTAGCATCAACAGAAACAGATTAGCAGTTTTGGTCAAAACCATTCTTCCGAAAGTTAGTTCAATTTCTGTAAGGGAAGTGGAACTTAAAGAGGTCATTTGACTTATTTATGACCACACAGTGAGCCACAAGACAAAGATAGTACCCAAGACTCTTGGTTTCAAATTTAGTGTTATTCTATAGTCTAACTTAAATTCATATCAATAAGTTAGCTTTAGGGAAAGCATCAAATTTGTTCCAGGCAGATGGTGTTTCACCTTTTAAAAAAAGTCATCCAGGCCCTCCCTGGTGGCGCAGCGGGTTAGAGCACAGCACTGAGAATCTAAAGCCGCTTCCGCATGAGTTCGATTCCCGCCTGCCCCGGAGGAGACCACATGGCGTGGCAGACCTCTCCTGACCTGCCCGCTGCTCCCCTCAGCAGTGTACTTCGTCGATCTGCCTGTTCTGTTCCCCACTCTGTCTCTGGTGAAGCCTCTCGCCGTCCCTGAGCCTCTGGCCTGTACTCCAGTTCTGTATGCACAAATAAATAAATCTTTAAAAAAAAAAAAAGTCATCCATCCCTCAAGTTGTCACTTCTAAACCAATTAAGAAACCAGAGTTATAACTCATTGGACTTGTTTCTGTGGAAATCTGTCTTATTTAAAGAATTAAGCCAGAAGGTAACCAGAGATCTGGGGCCTCTTTCCAATACCCCATCCAGGCCCTCACATGGCACTCAATTCTTTTTCAATTTCCTTTAAATAACTCCCTACCTTTTCTTTTCTTTCTTTCTTTCTTTTAAGATTTGTTTATTAATGCATACAGAACTGGGGTATAGGCCAGAGGTGCAGGGGCGGTGAGAAAATTCACCCAAGAAGACTGGGGAGAACAGGTGGGTCTACTGAAGTACACTGCTGAGGGGAGCAGAGGGCGGTCAGGAGAGGTCTGCCTCGCCATGTGGATTACTTCCCTGGATGGGAATCAAACTTGTGCGGCAGTGGCTGTGGATTGCTTCAAAGTGCTGTGCTTTAATCCACTGCGCCACCAGGGAGGGCCCAAATCCCTACCTTTTCATATAAAAAATTCTATTTCTTATATAAAAAATAAAAAATAGGGAAAAGGCAAAGCTAGAATCTTGCCTGAATTATAGAAACAACTTTTCTGGTATAGAAACAGCCTTGAAACATCCTACTACTAGCTGCTTTTTAGGAGCATGTTTTGGAACTTAATGTATTTTTTCTTAAGCTGTTACTACAAGAAACTCAATTTTTGTTTACCATTCAAGGAAAAGAAAAATCTTAGTCTCTCTTTTGAAAACCCTCCATCTATCCATCAGATGGCCCTGAAGGAATATTAAAGTCTGCACAAGAACCCCAGGTAGAGATAGCAACTTATAAGCTCAGGGCAGGCTCAGATGATTGTCAGGGTCTGGCTTCTCCAAACTAACTGGGGAACACAAAGGGCCACTATGTCAAAACTAACCTTTTAACAAAAAGTGGTAAGAACAACACTAACACCATTTAAAAAAAAAAGAAATTAGATACCTGGGAATTACTACTAAAATATTCATACAGTTAAGAAAGTATATGGAATCAACTGGTTGGTTCCCATCCTTTCCAACAAGGCAAATACTTGATTTGGAAATGAGCAAGTGGGCCCTCCCTGGTGACACAGCGGGTTGAAGCTCAGCACTACAGGCTCACCACGGCCACTTCAGTGCAAGTTCAATCCTCTGTCCAGGAGGTGACCCACATGGCACAGCAGACCTCTTCTGTCTCGCCTGCTGCTCCCCTCAGCAGTGAAATTCACCAGTCTGCCTGTCCTGCTCTCCTCTCTGTCTCTGGTGAATCCCCTCATCTCCCCTGCACCTCTAGCCTGTACCCCAGTTCTGTATGCATAAATAAATAAATCTTTAAAAAAAAGAAAGAAATGAGTAAGTGTTCCCTAAAGATTTTTATTGCTTCCCTGCTCAGCAGCTGGGATTTGGAACCTATTAACCCAGGAAATGCACCATAGAGCCACTGTCTCAGAACTCTACCCTCAGACACTGAGGTTTGGCCTCTCACTGAGGTTTTGGCATATGTTGAAAACCGAGGCAGCAGAGGTAACCAGCATCCTGCCTGTGTTGGCATGCACTTGTCTTTACCCGCCCCTTACCTGGGAGCCACTCTCTGGTGGGTATCAGGTCAATAGCACCACACACAACAACTATTCTGAGAAAAGCTTTATAGGGACAACACAGACTAAATAAGAACAATGTAAACAAGGAAGGGAAACACAAGCCCGGGCAGGAATGCCACCAGCAGCAGCAAGCTCAGAGCTGCTCAGGAGTGGTGTCAAATACTAACACCATATTGACCAGTCTGACTTCGAACCTGGTTCCATTAAGTGCAGGAGGAAATTGGGGAAGGAACCATGCATGAAATAAAAAAAGTATAGATAGCCACAAGGAAAACACCTACATTTTCCTAATTCCTTTGCTGCTTTTCCCGAGGAACAAATCAAAGTGGGGGCCCAGGCTCTTTTTCTGAAGTCCCTATACTTAGTATGGATGAACTTGTTAGACAAGCCCCAAATGGGCCTTGGAGTTAACCAAACACAGTTCACTCTTCTTGGCCCCATTCACCCCTGACGATTTACCAAGGAAATGTCTGGGACAGAGAGGGGAACATCCAGGAGAGGCAAGGAAACATAGGGCTCCCTTAACTTGTACATTATACACAAGGGCTGCACATTCTCCAAATACTTTCTCACTTGGACCTTTACTAGATTCTAGCAGACTTCTTCCCAACAGTAGCAGAACCCAGCCAAGCTGCGAGACAGAGAGGAAGTCAATATTTTGACATAACCCACGCTGGATCAGTCCTTTATCCAAGGCAATCACATAGGCAGGCCCCATGCAAGTCCTTAGAGGCCCACAGCTGTTTGCTTTGCAAGTGGGAAAGTTGGGCTTATTCCTTCCCTCGCCACTGCTCCCTCCAGTCCCAAGACAGCTGCTCAGTGTATGTGGAATTTATTGTTCTGCCGCTGCTGGCTGGTCCTCAGCCGGTGGCTTCTCAACCTGTGACTCTGGAGGAATCAGATACTGGACCTCTTCTGTACTGATGGCTACTTTATCTGGCTGGAGCCACCTCTTGAAATGTTCCAGGGTGCTAGGAGAGAGTAGGAGGGAAGGGGGAGATGCATCAGACCTCGATGATTAATTACTTAATGATTATCTCAGTTTCTTTACTGCCTTCCCACCCTCCTCCAATTGCTTCCTACAATTGTTTTTCATGGCAAACATGGGGCGAACAATGATACTCCTGTGACAGCTGTGCATCCTGGCAGCTCCACAGCATAATTTACCCCCTGGTGGACACTTTGGTTAAAAGCAACACCAGGCCCCCTTCAAATGCAGACCCTCTGAAGGCTTGACGAGAATAGCTAAAAAGCTTATGCCTCAGTCCTGTCTTTTCTCCCTCAAAACTAGAGAGGAGAAGCTGTCAAGGGGAAAAAAAGCATTCAAATAAATACCAAATTAGTGTGGCAGAAAGCTGGGCATCTTGAAATCTCTTATAACTGAGGCAGGCAGACTCAATAACACTAAGTATAATATTTCTTTTGCAGAGAGGTATTGTGGGTTTTCATTTGTTTAGTTTATCCAATAGCAAGTCCCTAAGGTGGAAACATCTGAGCAGCAATTTCCCCACAAAAATATGGCTACTATGCCTTGTTTCCACTAGGCTTGGTAAGGAGGGAGTGAAGTACCCAGCTCCATCTTCCTTAAATACCCAGAACGTTCCAATCTGAAGCTATTAAACATTCACTGTAAAATATAAATGACTAGAAATAATGTAAACCTTATTCTTTGCGCTTCCATAGCACAAAATCTTAAGCCAAGAAATAAAGCCATAGCCAGCAGATCTGAAATATCTGTCAGTGCATGGAGGAGTCACATGTGGGCAGCTGGACTTCTCAGTCCATTAATCCATTACCAAAAGCAAACCAGGGTGGGGGTGAGGTGAGGATGGGTCACCTATCTGGCCTTCACATAAATGAGGAGCCACATAAATCCATTACAAAATTACTTCTGCTTAAAACAAAATTTGCTCTGGTAGCACAATGGGTTAAAGCACAGCACTGTGAAGCTGTTACCAGCCACTGTAGCACAAGTTCAATCCCCAGCCAAGGAGGTGACCCACATGGCGAGGCAGGCCTCTCCTGACTCACCTGCTGCTCCGCTCAGCAGTGTTATTCAGTCAGTCAGCCTGTTCTGTTCCCTACTCAGTCTCTGGTGAATCCTCAGACCTTCTGCACCTCTGGCCTATACACTAGTTACTACATGCATAAATAAGTAAATCTAAAAATAAGTAAAACATAAACTTTGAAGTTTGAAAACAGATGCATGTCTGCTGTTAGCAGGCTTGTTTTGAACAAAGGAAGAAAGAAGCGTTCCCACAGATAGTCTGGGGGACTTGGGGACAACCTGGCATTTAATCTTCATCTACCATATCTTCAATATAACTCCTCCAATTATTTCTCTAGAGAAGGGAAAAACCACATTATATATAATGAGGTACTGATAAATACACAGAAATGTTGAGTCTTGATGCTGACTTGATTATGGAGAAAAAGAATTCCTATTTGAGAATTAAGCAGAGGAAGTTTTGTCTTCTCAGAATTAGTGAAGAGGAAAATATTCAAGGAGAGAGAGAATACAATGCCAAATTATTAACAGGTCAGGAATTGTGACTCTTCAAGCCTCTTATGTTTGGGGCATTTTAAGGTTCAATTAGGTTGAGCTTTTAGAGACAGAAAAGAACAAAAGTTATATTATTTTCTGAATCCTTTAAGAGTACTTGGCTTGACCTTAGATGGCACACTGATTCAGTAGTTGGGATAAGGCAAGTAAAATGTAACTGTCAAGCTTTATCCACATACTGTCCATACTGTTGCCATGGGATTCTCCAAATTGATGATATGTTGTTGAAAACTTGAGTTAAGTCATATTCCCCTCGACCTTCTGTTAAAAGTCAGGTTTTTACTCCTCCGACAGTTTTTAATTTGGAATAACTTCTTCCTGAATTTAAAAACTCTGTTAAGAAGAAAAATAGTAGTAATAACGAATGCTTATATAGTACTTACCCTGTTGCAGATACTGCTCTAAACTGCTTTACATAGTATAATCCTAATAACAAACTGATGAGGTAAGAGCTACTACTCTTGCTTTATAGAGGAGGAAAGAGCACTCAGAGGTTACTTGCACACGAATGCAAAACCAGTAAGTGGCAGTTTCTTTCCCGAGTGCCAAGCACCATCCTGCTCTTTATGGCTGCATGCCCTCTCCTTTCCCAGCTGACTACCTGCAGGGTCTGCTCAAATTCTGCCTCCTTCCCTGCACAAATGCTAGCAACTGAAGAGAACTTCCTGGCCTCTCAATCCCCAAAGCACAATCTGTCAGGTCTGCTCATATGATTCTTATGCCGCTTTGTATTGTTAAGTGAATCTTTACATATTTTTCTGAGGATGAAAAATGGGCCCAAAACTTCCTTCTACTCCCCTCCACACACCACCTTGCCCACCCTCCCCCATGACACCTTAGCACAGTGTCTTCACAAATAGATGCTTAAGTGAAGTACTCACTGATGAGTACATCATACTCCCTGCAGAAGAAGTCATTTTTAAGGAGATCTGAAGAAAGGTTTATTTTTCTATTTCCTTCATAATATCTTCACTCAGCATTGTATCAAATAAATCCCTAGGCCCAGGAAAGAGGGATAGATTATCACAAGTAAATTGTTGCCATTCATTTAGACTACACAAACTGAGTGGCTATCCTATGACAGAACTCTGTAAGGTATTGGCAAGCACAGGTAAGATGGCATAGTTCCATTTGTTGACTGATACTTTCTCAAGTGCATTGTGTACTTGAAAAAAAGAAAAGAAGACACTTGTTTTCAACTCTGTTCAATCTGTGATCAAGATGTAGGTGGGGTATTTGTCTTTTGGCAAAATAGCTATTTTCAAAATTTTGCTGCTGGAATAAGGGCGATTAGATGGACCTTACACAGGATGATTTCAGCTCAGAAAAGCTGATGCTGATAACAACTAATAGCTGGACTCAGATGTCACACTTCCTGAATTATTTTGAGACAGAGAAATAAATGGTCTTAGTGAAACAGACAGTCACCTGGAACTGGCCTGGGAATCAATTACCTCTCATCAGAGTCAAGTCCATCCACAAAGAACTCTGATGCTAGTTTCTCCTGGAGGAACCGATCCCAACATTCCTTCTTGGCTTGGGACAGGGTTCGGAGCATGTCCTTGGAAGTTACTTCCTGATTTAAACCTTTGATTCTTTTCAGTTTCTTCTCTAAAGAAAGAAGTAGAGCTTAACAAGGAAAGTGAATATAAAACCAAACTAAATCTAGAATACAAAATGCCAGTTTTAAAAGTCTGCTACTGGTGAGTACATCATACACCTGCAGAAGAGGTCTTTTTTTTTTTCTTCAGATTTATTTACAAGAGTTGGGGTGCAGGTCAGAGATGTGGCGGGGCATAAGAAGATTCACCGGAGACAGAGTGGAGAGCAGAACAGGTAGATCTACTGAAATACTGAAATACACTGCTGAGGGGAACTGCAGAAGAGGTCTGCTGAGCCATGTGGGTCAGCTCCCTGGCCGGGGATCTAACTCATGCTGCATTTGCTTTAACCTTTGTGCCACCAGGGAGGCCCAGAAGTTACTTTTTAAGGAGATCTGAGAAAATGTGTATTTTTTTATTTCCTTCATAATATCCCCACTCAGCATCATATCAAATACATCTCCAGGCCCAGAAAAGAGTACTGGGTTTCATAAATAAATTGTTGGCATATTTTCTTTGAAGCCACAGACGCCCAGTAGGTATCTCTCTGAGGAATGCTGGTTTTCCCTGGTTTGACATGTATCCTATCGCCTCTTCTTCACTCTTTGAAAATAGTCTCTCTAAGGAGTAAATGGACTTTTTATTTTTGTCATAGTGACATGAAGTCATGAGATTTTCAAACCTCATGAGAAAGAATTAAAGAAAATGATGAGATCCAATGGTTTGTTAAACACTAAAATTGACTTGATGAGAACTCAATAATAAGAAACCTTTAAGATCTCTATGTTTAAATTCTTGATTAAAGAAAAGAAATCTCCCAGCATTTTAAAAAATTGCTCAACTTGTGGATTGGATGGTCGAGTCTAATAAGAACAAACATTTTGTCATCCCTTTGAGAGTAGCCCATCTGGCTTACTGATGATAGATGTTTAATTATTCTTCTTTGCATTTTAAGTATACTTGTAGAGCAGATTTTCCCTTTTAAGCAAAATAAGGATGAGTATCACCATTTATCTTCTGCCTTCTGTCTTGTCCTCAACTATAATAATGGGGTGAATAATGGTTTTTATAAGGGGAAGGGGAAGCAACAGAAACTTGCTAATTTGCAATCCTGTTTTCATTTCAAAACAAATCACATCAGCTAGCACCACTGATCAAAACAATAAATGTCTTTTGTTACTGCAAGTTACCACCAAGAGCTCAACCATGTAACAAACCTAGAGTTTATAAAGGTGTGTTTTTCTTTAAGGATGTGAAAAGTTAGGTAAATATCTCGTGTTGAACCAGCTATGTTTTTAACTGTTGCTCTTAACAGTGAATTCTCATTGAGATAGGTTTATTTGATAATAAAAATAATCTTTATATGGCAATGGTTGTCAAGGTGTAAGTACTCATTTCTTCTAGGAAAGGTCTACCCCACTCTGGGTGCTGATCAAGTCTGATCAAGTACAATCTGAGTAAGTGCCATTAGAGTATTCGAGTCCTGCCTGCCGTTGTCTCCCAGATTCTGCATTGGCAACATAAAGCTTTTAGTTTCCTCAGAGAGAAAATTTTGATCATCTTCTGAACTGATTTTAGAACAGATCAGTGAGGTTTTAATTTTCTGAACCAGTCTTCATCCATCAAAGTCATCACTGAATTCATGAAAGCTGATGCTCTGGGTACAAGGCTAAGAATCTACTTCAATTTTCTCAGATTGTTGCTTCTTCCTTTTGTCATCATTAAACAGACATTCTGGCTACCACAAAACAGAAATGTTAACCTCCCCATCATGGCTATAAACATTACTTTCTTATCTTTGGTGGCTTCCTGACACATTTCATATTAGCCCTTCATCTTACTCATTATACATTCCACCACTGTTCTCATTTTTTTCCCCTCCACAATATCATCAACAAAATTCCTTTCATTTTTCCAAGTTATTTCCTAGCAATCCTGCTTGACTCTTCTTTCTGCCTTTTCTCAAAAATGTCTTCTTCCTGAAATGCCTTTTTTTCCCTCAAGTAATTGGTTTGGCGACACTTAGGTGACTCTGTGTAATAAGACAATACCACAGTTCTAGAGATTGGATTGTGCATCTCTGTCCTAACTCTATGAAGATGGCAATCAGTCTTTTAAAAAAAGAAATGACAACTGTTTTAAGACATACACAAAGAAATGGGGGCTCCTCACCAACAATCAACCTTAACCACCTATACCTCCTCAAGAACCCCCAACACACACACACTTACATCTGACAGATACATGTGGTGCAGGTCAAGAAAATAAAGAAATAAAGGACAAAAACCAGGTGTGATGTAACAAAACTTCAACAAGTTTCCTTAAACACACCAGCTTCTCATTTTTAAAAAAAGTCACCTAACTGGCTTTCCTTGGTGGCCTACAGGTTAAGTCTCAGCACTATCATCACTATTGCCTCAGTTCAAACCCTCATCAAGAAGTTAACCCACATATGGCACAGCAGACCTCTCCTGTTTTACCTGTTGCTCCCCTCAGCAGTGTATTCAGTCAATCTGCCTGCTCTGCTCCCCACTCTGTCTCTGGAGAATCCTCTTACCCCCCACATCTCTTGTCTACACCCCAGTTTTTCTACACAAATTTTTTTTTCCTACACAAAAATTTAAAAAGAAAAAAGTCACCTAACTTACCTAGAGATGCTAAATATACTTCTGAATCCTGCAAGGGAGCCCAAGGCTTTACAGCTGGCTGGACAGAAAAGTCTGGGGCCTCCCTCTGGCCTTCGTCTGCAGGGCAAGAATCCATAAAAGAGTCTGAGAAAGCATTGTTGGCACCATCCTCTTGGTCAGGATTTGGCAGACAGGAACAGATTTCAGCCCAAAGATCCAGGCCAGATCTTGTGGCTGTTGAGTCAATGCTCTCAAACATTTTCATTTGGAATTAAGCTGAAAAACAGAAGTTCCAGTAAGTAAAGACTGGTTTTAAGGATATATTATAGGTACTCAATACTCAAATACTTAGTTATCCATTGAAAGAAGATAATAGACTTTTAAGATGTTTATCTTGACAACACTTAACTATGTCTATTGGGTTCCTTATGTAAGAGATAACAAGGTGATAAGGGGAAGTTGGAGTCCTAGTCCAGCTCTGCATCCAAGCTGTTTTCTTAATGAAGTCTGTCTTTAAAAATTGAATCTTTACAAGCCAGACACAGAAGGGCAATGTTGGCTGATCACACTTTTATGAGAAACCTACACTATTCAAAATCAGAGACAGCAGACTCATGGTTGTCAGGATTTTGAGAATTAGTGTTTAATGGGCACAAAGTTTCAATCTGGGAAGAATGCTCTAGAGATGAAAGGTGGCAATGGGACTGCCACTGAATTGTATATTTAAAAATGGTTAAAATGTTAAGATGTGGTATATATACACAATAGAATACTATTCAGCAATCAAAAAGATAACACTATTTGCAGCAACATGATGGAGCTAGAAGGGATTATGCTCAGTGAAGTAAGTCAGAAGGAAAAAGAAAAATATCGGATGGTTTCACTTAATAGGATGAATATAGGGAAACCAAATGAGGTGTTAAGGGAAAAAATAATAACAAAAAAATAAACAGACAACTATAAATCGAGACATTCTGCAGGGGAGAGGGATCAAAACGAGGAAGTGATGCAGAAGGGACTATGGTGATGGAGCATGGGTGAACCAGTAGTGGAAACTCTATTAGGACTACACCTGAGAAAAAAGAACAAACATTGTTTTAAAAAAAGAAAGAAAAGGTGTTTATATATATGTGTGTATATATATATATATAAATTTAAAAATTTTAAAGTTAAAATGATAAAGTTTACATTATGTATTTTCCAACACACACACTAGAATTTTAGATTTTTAGTGAGGACAGATACCCTGTATTTTTTTCTAAAATGCAACTGCTCTATCCTCTGCCAATTAAATTTTTGTTTTCCATAGGACACAGACTAACTGTCCATAGGACAGTTTTGTACACATGAAGAAAATAAAAGTGCTGCTTGGAGAGAAGAATCTGTCGGGGAGTACTGTTATATGCAAAGGCCCATGCGCTCATTACATGTTCTTATTTTAGTAGTCGGAAACACTGAAAAACAGTGAAATCATTTTACAGATGACGGTCGGTCGATCGCTCTCTGGTCTTAAGGATAGGTTGACACATTCTTTCAGGAGAGACCTCCCAGATTAGGAAGACTGCCTGGCAGGGGGGTATGGATAATTCTAGAGGAAAGCTCATCTAGCCCAAGGGCCGGAAGTAAAACGTCAGCTATGTCAAGCTCTGTCCATTGCTCCCAAGGGCCACAACGAGCTCGCGCCCCCCATTCCTAAGACGTTTGAATCTACCGAAAGCAAAACTTTGCTTGCATCTGTGCCTCGGTCAACCCCAATCCCACCCCCCAAGGAATTCCAGAACAGCGGCGGAAATCCTGAGGTCCAGATGCTGGGCCACAGCCCCTCTGGCCTCAAGGTCTGGTTGAGAGCGATGAGTAGCGCCTCCAAGCTTCTCAGTAGCGTTTTAGGCTAAACTCAAGATACAAACTGAAAATGTGAGGCACCCCCGCACACCCGTCCCACCTACCGCAACCGCCTGCCCTGCAGCCTGCAAACCGCTGGGTTCAGCTCGGGCACTAGCAGCCAAGATAAAACTGCAGGCGGAGACTCCGAGTGACCATCTGGGGAGTCTTCCAACCACCACCCGACCTGGAGATATTCTGTGCGTCGATTGGTTGGTTGGAGGTCAGCTGGGTGAGGAAGAGCCGCGCAGTGAGGAAGCGGTGGGCGGGACTGTGGTTGCCCGGGAACGGTGGAGTCACATGTCCTGGGCTCCCTGCCTTGGTGGCGATCAGGTTGATTTCTTAATCGGAGAGTTCCAGGCGCGTGGACTGCACCCTCCACTCAACCCTTGTTTTGATAAGCCAGTTTCCATAGGACTTTGACTTGGTTCCCTGGGCAAGTTCACTTCCTTGACAATTTAATGGGTCGGTGTTTGTCTCCAAAACTTCAGCGCTTCGATTCCCAGCTCTTACTTAGGTAAAAGCACTTTGGCGTCATGGACTGGGAAAGAGACGACTTCTTTCCTTACTCTCGCAGGAATAATAAACTTTCCTTCATTCTTTTCGTCCATATATTCCAAGTTCTTGTGTTCTAGGCATTGTGTTAAGCGGAAATTCTAGATAGATAGGACTTGTATGAGTCCCTGAGGTCTTTACAGCTAAGGCAGGAGAGGAGGGTGAGGCATTGGGGCAGACAAGTTTACAAATAACAATAAGTTATAAAGGATCTGATGGACATGCGATGAGAGTGCATGAAGGAGGGAGTGGTCGAACGTGGAATGTGTGTGTGTCCGAAACCATTTTTTAGAACTGACTTTTGTTATCCTTCAGAGGTTATCATTTTACTGAGAAGAAACCCCTCCTCTGTCTCTGTCCCACAACCTTTCTCTCCCAAAAAATATGCAAAGAAAGACGTAAGCTAGACATCTGCAGAAGTAAATTTGCAGATGGTATAATCTCTAGATGTGTCCAAACCCGACCAATGGTGTGAGGGTAACACTACCACCATGTGAACGATGCTGCCAGGTCTCCCGTTGTTCACATTTATAACCATTCGTAGAATGGTTCTTGCATTCTTGCATTCGTAGAATATGCAAACAGAAGGAAATAGAAAGCAAGGATTTTAGAAAATTAAGGAGCAAATAATAGACACGATTTTTGCCGGTGCCTACTCATAAGGAATACATAAAGGGGGCTGGGGATTCCTAGAGTCCTTACCTCGTAGCAACTAATTAACAGAAAGGGGCACTATGGTGAGTTTATAGGTGCTTCATCAAGCAATTCCATGGCTTTTCAGCCCATTGAGACCCTATTCTCTGATTTACTGCTCACCAAACTCTTGATTTCAAATTTAGATTCTTGAATAGCTTGAAACCGGATAAGGGTGGCTTATTAGGGTGGAGTATATTTTATAACTTTTTTTTAAAGATTTATTTATTTATTCATACAGTACAGAACTGGGATACAGGCCAGAGATGCAGAGGGTGAGAGGATCACCAGGGACAGAGTGGGGAGCAGAACAGGCAGATGGACGAAGGACACTGCTGAGGGGAGCAGCAGGCGGGTCAGGAGAGGTCTGCCATACCATGTGGATCTCCTCCGGCAGGTGGGGATGGAACTCATGGGAAAGTGGTTTAAGCTTCTTAGTGCTGTGCTTTAACCAGTTGCGCCACTAGGGAGGGCCCATATTTTATAACTTAGAGTTACCATATCTTCTGAGTTTAATCTGTGTGTGTGCTGAGTAACTCCAAAACAGATCTTGGACTTGCAAATTTGTTGGTTTTATTTTTTTTGAAAGATTTATTTATTATTTATGCATATAGAACTGGGATACATAATCCCCATGGATTTCCCACCACCAATTCACCAGTGCCATCACCATAGGGGCCATATTTTTTTTTAATAAGATTTATTTATGTAAGAACTGGGGTGCAGACCAGAGGTGTGTGTGTGGGGGGCCATTAATCAAAGACTGAGTGGGAAACAGAGCAGGCAGGTTGACTGAAACACATTGCTGAGTATATCTGGCAAGACAGGAGAGGGCTGCTGCACCCTGGCCAGGGATCCAACTGGTGCTGCAGTGACTTCGGATATCTTCACAGCGCTGTGACTTAACCCCTTGTGCCACCAGGGAGGCCCTAACCCTCTACTTTAGACTTGCTCTGCAGTATCATTATTATGAATATGTTTGGTTTTCTCCTCAACCAACCTAGGCCTTCACTGAGATTCTAAAATTGTTTTTCTTACCTCCATCTTCAGAGCCAAGTAATGCCTGGCAAATTTTCCAAATTTGGTTGCATGAATGTTTCAATTACAATCATCATGGTTAAGGACCACACTGAACTGGAGCTATACCTCCTCTGTCCCCTCCTCTGTCCCCTCTCCATATGTACCAGGTGATCCTTTTGGGATGGAGATCACACATGCACATGTATACCAAAAAATGTGATGATTTTCCATTGTTCTTGAAGACTTAAATATTCATGCTAGTAATTGGGGCTCTGTACTCAAACGAAATTCATTTTAGCTAGTTAAAGCAGTAAAATAACTTGATTAAATACAGCTCTGGCTAATAGAACTTTCTGTGATAAAAGAAATAATTCTGTATCTGAGCAATCCAATAACATAGCCCTAGCATTATGTGGCTCTTGATACATGAAATGTAGCTTGTTTTAAATTTTATTTTATTTCAATAAATTTAAATTTAAATAACCAAATGTAACTAATAGCTAACCTGTGTCAGATTCCAAACCTGCCCTTCTGTCCCATCTTGAGAGTCTATGAACTACTTGATATCTTTAACCATTTTGTTACAACAAAGGGTAGCTATTAGTTACATATGATTATTTAAATTTAAAGTATCTGCATCTTATCGAAGGACTACTCAGTAAATACCCCACTGCCACTGAACATAGACACTGCAGCTGGTATTGCTTACTGGACACTAGATACAAGAATCTCTCTCAGTTAGTCCCCCAAATTAGATCCTTCCAATGCTATCTTGTCAGACATGATTCTACACTGTGCCTGCTTCCTCTGCTGTGAGCCTATGAATCAAAGGCTCTGCCTTGTCAGTGCATCCCAGGTGAAATATCAATGCTTATGCTGCAAGGAAGGTTGGGAAGGTCAAGTTCTTGCTTCCTTTTCTAGAAGGCAGTACTTTCAATATGGAAATTCACACACACAAGAGTATTGAGAATCTGCTGGATGTCCAAAGAGTATGAAAAATGTCTACTCCACATGGTACATACAGGTGTTTCTCAATCTTTAATATGTAGACAAATCATCTGAGGATCTTGTTAAAATGCAAATTCTCATTCTTGGTGGAGAATGTAAGAGGAACAATGTAAGAGGAACAAGATGCTGCAGTCCCAACAAGTTGCCAAGTGTTGCCCAAGCCACTAATCCATAAATCACATTTTGAGTAGTAAAGCTTTATACAACCCAGAACTCCCTGTATAGACCTATGTTATTTCTCTTCTTGTCAGTGCTTCAGACATTCTGAAAAAAATTTTTTTTTCTTTAGAAGAAACCAAACAACTTTATTAACATAAAATTTATACACTGTACAATTTACCCTTTTGTGGCACCTTCTCAGAGGCCTTGGCTTCTCTCAGTTTGGCTCTTTTTCTGAGTCTGTTTCCATTTCTTGTGAATTCTATGAGGTACTAATATCCTTTCAATACTTCCCCTTCCAATGAAGTTAACTGGAATTGATTTCAGTATTTTTTCATTTAAGAGCTCTGACAAATACCTCTTCTGACCCAGTTGCAGTCTTAATCTCAGGACAGAAATGTATAGGAGGCAAGTGGGAGATCGCCAATCCTTTTGATGCTGTAAGGGGAAAGGACAAATGTTAAAACATTGCTTTACTCTTTAAATAAATATGGAACAGATTTATGATATAAGTCACATAATATTCACCCCTTTCAAAATACAAACACCTGTGCTTCTTAGTATATTCTTAAATAAAGCTCCTTTAGAGAGTTTTTCCAGACACCCGAGGGGCTTTGAGAAAACCTTCATGGAATCTATACTTTTTGGTGAGTCATCCTCACAGCCTCTCGACTCAACCCATTCCACTCAGCTCACTCACAGCCTCTCAGTTCATTCAACAACCTCTCTCCAAGCTTGCAACTCAGCTCTTTGAATTCATTTCGCTCAGTGCACTCCCGCACTTCCTCCCGAGGCTGTTCCAGGCTGGATTCCGGGCCTCGTTGATTGGCTGGAATGGAGTGACGTCCTCAGGTCGCGACCCAGGAGAGCCTCCCGCGTGGTTATGTGGCGGGGCGGCTGCTGCTGGCTCCCAGTTCTTGAGCAAGGATTCCTCAACCTCCGGCGCCCCTACTTTGCTAGGACTTGGGGTGGCCTTAAGGCCCCGATGGCTGAAGTACTCTCGACTGAGACCCAGGCAGCGAGTGAGCTAAAGGTTCCGGCCCAGCAAAACGGAGACGCGGGTGGCGATTCGAGGGCTGTACAAGCCCCCGGCAGCCCAGAGCTGGCGGGCCCCGGAGTGGAGCCAGCTCCAGGGAATGGGAAGCAGGTCTCAGGGAGCGGGGAGCAGGCCCCAGGGAGCGGGGAGCAAGCCCCGGCTGCAGCTGTGGGCACTGGCAAGCGGAAGAAGAGGCGGGGGGCAGCCGGGGAGCGGGTAGTGCCGCCCCCGAAGAAGCGGCGAGCTGGGGTGAGTTTTGGCGAAGAGCACTTTTCTGAGACCAGCTACTACTTCGAGGGAGGCCTGCGCAAAGTGCGACCCTATTACTTTGACTTCCGAACCTATTGCAAAGGCCGCTGGGTGGGCCACAGCTTGCTGCATGTCTTCAGCACCGAGTTCCGAGCACAGCCCCTTGCCTACTACGAGGCCGCGGTTAAAGCTGGGCGCCTGCACCTCAACGAAGAGCCAGTACAGGACCTCAGCATTGTGCTCAAGGTGGAGTCCTGAGGGTCTGACTGGAAACGAACGAGGAAAGGGTGGCAGGGGGTCCTCCAGAGTTTGAAGGGCATAGGTACTGGAGTAAAAGCTAGATAAATCCGAAGCGAGCTCCCTGTCACTTGGTACCGCAGTTAGTCCCGCCCCCGTTTTTGTACGCAGCCTCTGCGCGGCATTCTCAGTCCATTATCCCCTTTATCAAAAAGGCTTCTTTATTAACAAGAAACAGAAGTGGAATTCTCACCTCCTTTTATACACTAGTTTGAGACACTACCACCCATCACTTTCTAACTTGCATTATAGATTTCTGTGCAAATAATACTAGAAGCTATCGCTTATGTCTTACTGTGAGCTGTGCACAGAGGTAAGCTTATACACTTTAACATTTAATTCTAATGACAACCTGTGGGATAGGCATTTCCACCTCATTTTACTTGGAGAAAACTAAGATGAAAGTTATCGTGGAAGGCAACATGTTGTGCCATCTCCAAAACCTATTTTTTAACTAATGTTACTTAAATTACTTACAATAGAGGCTGAAATGATAGACTTGTGAGATGTCAGGGAGAGATACTAGATACTAGCACAGTGTTTTGACCCTTTAAAATTCTATCACAGCTAAGAAATACCAATATGGCAGTAACATTGGCTCACCACAGTTGTGAGGAGAAAGTAGGCAGTTTCAGAATTTTAGGAATGATGGTTCTTTTCTCTCATCTCAATTTTTTTTTTTAAAGATTTATTTTTTTGTTCATACAGAACTGGGGTACAGGCCAGAGGCTCAGGGGCATTGAGAGGCTTCACCAGAGACAGTGGGGAGCAGAACAGGCAGATCTACGAAGTACACTGCTGAGGGGAGCAGCGGGCGGGTCAGGAGAGGTCTGCCAGGTCTGCCGAGCCTTGTGGTCACCTCCGGGGCAGGTGGGGATCGAACTCATGCGGAGGTGGCTTTAGCTTCTTAGTGCAGTGCTTTAACTCGCTGCGCCACCAGGGAGGGCCAACATCTCTCATCTCAATTTTGAGCAGCACAAGTCTGGACTAACCTTCACCTTTTACAAACAAGGAAATTGAGTCCCAAAAGAGTTAAATGACATACCTAAGAACTTGCAGTGAGTTTGTGGTATATCCAGGACTATAACCCAGATCTCTGGACAAATGGCTTGGTCTTCTTAGGTCAGATTCTTGCTAAGTGATTTGTAAAGTTTTCCCCTTCCATTTTACTTTATTTTTTAAAGGTTTATTTATTTAGACATACAAAACTGGGGTACAGGCCAGAGATGAGGGGGTTGGTGAGAAGATTCACCAGAGACAGAGTGGGGAGCAGAACAGGCAGATTTACTGAAATACATTGCTGAGGGGGCAGTAGGAGAGAGAGGTTTGCTTCCTGGCCAGGCATGGAACAAATGCTGAGTGGCTGCTGATAGCTTGATAGAGCTGAGACTAACCCCTCTGCCACCAGGGGGACCCTTTCCCTCCATTTTAGAAAATTTACTATTTAAATGTAAGTTTATTGTAGAAAAAATAGAAACATGCAAAACCAAAAACATCCACTCAAAGACATCATCATTAACGTTTTGGTGTATATCCTAATAATTCTCATGCTTGCTCTCTACCTGTGTGTCTTGCCGGTATTTTTACAAGATGAGAATACTTTGTACACTGCCTTTTTTCACTTAAGAATGTACTGTGATCAGTCTTCCAGATCAGGAAGAAATGAGAAATGTGTATGTAGTTGACCAATAACAGATTGCTGGCTTCTGGCTTCCTCTTTCATTGACAGGACAATGACTTCTTGCGGAACACAGTGCACAGGCATGAGCCCCCAGTCACCGCAGAACCTATCAGTGTACTAGCTGAGAATGAAGAGGTGGTGGTTGTAGACAAGCCTTCTTCCATTCCTGTCCACCCTTGTGGCCGCTTCCGGCACAACACGGTCATCTTCATTCTGGGCAAAGAGCACCAACTCAAGGAGCTGCACCCATTGCATCGGCTGGATCGCCTTACCTCGGGTGTGCTCATGTTTGCCAAGACTGCAGCTGTCTCAGAGAGAATTCACGAGCAAGTTAGGGACCGGCAGGTGAGTCTTATATTTATTTCCTGCAGGCTGCTTTCTGGGTTCACGGGTGTTTCATGTCAGAAGAATACTAGTGAGTTCTAGATCTGTAATAAGCCTTCATATTTATCTGGCCAAGCTTCCTACCTCCAAGAAGGTCAAATCTAAAGTACCTAAGGTTTATTATCTCATGTTTCAAAAGATCTTTAGAAGTGGCATTTACTGCCTCTCTTAGTGGTTTGCTTTTTTCAAGTTTTAAAATGTTGATTAAGCAACACATTTTAAAAGATTTTATTTTTATTTATTTATACATACAATAACTGGGGTATAGGCAAGTGGTGCGGGGGGTGGTGGTGAGAGGATTCACCAGAGACAGAATACGGAGTAGAACAGGCAGATGTACTGAAATACACTGCTGGGAAACAGCAGATGAGACAGGAAAGGCCTGGATTCTGGATGAAGTTGGAATAGGCTTGGGTGGAAAAGTTCAATGGTAATGATATTAAGTTTAGATCTGTTTATTGTGTGCTTGCTGTATACCAGGTTAAGTCCCGAGTACTTAAAGCCTAATTTATTGAATCCTTCTAACAGCCTTAAGAGGTGAAAGCTTTTATTTTTTTAAGTTATTTCTTATTTAATACTCTTTAAAACACTGGGAACGTTGAGATTTATATTTCTTCATAATATTGTGAGTAGCACCAATAGTCTTTGTCATTTCATTATATAATACATAATGAAGCAGATAACTTTCATATGCCCTCTCAACATTTGTGTGAGCTTCCAACATTTGATAAGTGCTTTTCTGAGCTCACATTTTCTAGGTAAGTTAATGGGATTTAACAAGGCTAGGTACTGGATCCAGGATCAGCTACCTGACAAGGGATGGCACTGGGGTTTGAATCTTCTTCTGTCTGATACTGGTGTATTTCTCATTACTGCAGTCTTGGCTTCATAAATGTAGACTATGTTTTTCTCCCATTTCCCTCCCATGTAGCTGGAAAAAGAATATGTGTGCCGGGTGGAAGGGGAGTTCCCTTCGGAGGAAGTGACCTGCAAGGAACCCATTTTGGTAGTGTCTTACAAGGTAGGCGTATGTCGAGTAGATGCCCGGGGCAAGCCCTGTGAGACAGTGTTCCAGAGACTAAGCTACAATGGCCACTCCAGTGTGGTACGATGCCGGCCACTGACAGGCCGCACCCACCAGATCCGAGTCCACCTCCAGTTCCTGGGCCACCCCATCCTCAATGACCCCATCTACAACTCAGTTGCCTGGGGCCCCTTCCGAGGCCAGGGTGGCCAAATTCCCAAGACAGATGAGGAACTGCTGCGGGACCTGGTAGCAGAACACCAGGCTAAACAGAACCTTGATGTGCTAGATCTCTGTGAGGGTGACCTGACACCAGGATTCACAGACTCTACAGCTCCCTCTTCAGAGCTGGGCAAGGACCACCTTGTAGGGTTGGCTGCATCTGCCCAGAAGAAGGATGGAACAGTAGAGGCAGCTCCTCAGAATCTAGACACAGTGGCTTTGGCACAAGGGAAGGCAGCTGAAATTGATGTTATGACTCAGGAGACAGATCCCCTCTGTTCAGAGTGCCGGCTGGTGCGACAGGACCCCTTGCCCCAGGACCTGGTGATGTTCTTGCATGCCCTGAGCTATAAAGGGCCAGGCTTTGAGTATTTTTCACCCATGCCTGCCTGGGCACAGGATGACTGGCAGGAAGACTGAAAGTGAAGAGAATGCTTCTTCCATGGAAGAGGGATGGGCCTTGGCATAGGAGCTGACTACTTGGACTGGTACTCAGGGTTTCCCCAGGAGAAAGATTGGGCTCTAAAGAGACCTGCTCATACTTGACAATTCCTTTCTCCTTCTTCCTCCAGTTAGAGCTTGGGGACTTGGTTTGTAAATATACAATTTTTTTCTGTCACCTGGGTTTCTTATTGCTTGTTTCTTTTTTCTTTCTTAACTGTATTCAATTTAGTGCATTCACAGAGCACTACCTTGCTGAATTCCATAACATTTCATCACCCAAAAGGAAACTCATATCCATTAAACAGTCATTCTCCATTTTTCCTTCCTCCTGGCTCCTGGTAACGAAACTACTTACTGTCTCCATGGATTTATCTGGATATTTCATATACATGGAATCATAGTATGTGACCTTTTGTGTCTGCTTTCACTTAACATGTTTTCAGGGTTTGTCCTATTGACTAATTCATACATGTGTAAGTTTTTCATTCCTTTTTTTATGGTCAAATAGTATTCTCTCACATAGGTCTGAACATTAGTGTACCAATTTTTGTTTGAATATGTGTTTTAATTATCTCAAGTATATACCAAAGAATGGAATTGCTGGGCCGTAAGGTAATTCTATGCTTTTTGAGAAATCACCAAGCTGTTTCCCACTTTATATTCTCACCATCTCTGCATAAGACTTCAAGTTTCCCCATATCCTCACTAACACTGGTTATTTTCCATTGTTTTAAACATAATTATCCTATTAGGAATGAAGTTTTATTGGTTTTGAATTACATTTCCTTAATAATTAATAACATCATCTTACTATGTACTTGGTGATTTGTATTTCCTTGGAGAAATGTGTATTCAAATATTTTGATTTATAATAATTTATATATTCTAGATACAAGACCATTATCAGATATATGATTTGCAAATATGCCCTTCTCTTTTGTAAGCTGTCTTTTCACTTTATTGGTAGTGTTCTCTGATTCACAAAAATTTTATTTTTTGTGATAAAAACACTTAACATGAAATCTGTCCCTTAACAAAATTTTATGTGTAGTATACAGTATTGTTCATTACAGGCACAATTTTCAACAACATATCCCTAGAACTTAATCATGTTATAGAAATGAAACTTTATACCTGATGAATAGCAATTCCCATTGCCCATCTTCCTTCTCCCAGCACCCCCCCACCTCCAATTCCTGGCATCACCAGTGTATCTTATATACTTCTGTTATTAGCTACTTTAGATACCTGAAAAGAAAAAAAATTTTTCTTTGCCTCAGTATATTCTATACTTTAAATGTGTTAGGGCTTCTCTGACACTAAATGGGTATACTCAATTTTGACACTACCAGGAAATTGGATCAGAACCTACAAGTTAAGGACTCAGTTCCACAAGACTGCCCATACTTCAGATGCCACTTCCAAGTGCAGGTTGTCAGCTATGCTTCTTATCAACCGGCTATATATCAGAGGTTCCCACAACCTCTGTGCATCTAGTTCTTTACTGACAAGAACTCAGGAAAAGAGTTTACTAGATTACTGATTTATGAAGGGTATCAAAGGATAAGAAAAAAGAACAGCCAATGAAAAAGTACATTGGGCAAGGTGTGGAAAGATCCTGAGCACAGAGCTTCTGACCCATAGAATTAGGCACACAAATGCCTTTCTGTTCACCAACTGGAATGTTCTCTGAACCTAGTCATTAAGGATTTTTATGGACACTTTATTTCTTAGGCATAGTTGATTAAATCACTTGGTAAGTCTGTCTCCAGCCCCTCTCCTGGGAGGTAGGTGGGGAGGTAGGTAGATTAACTCTTCTTAATCAGTTGATTTTCCTGGCAACCAACACCTATCCTTGAAGATTTTCCAGAATTTGTTATCATAAACTCAGATGTTATTGAAAGGGAATTTTATGAATACCAAAGGACCATTATCACTTTTAGGAAATTCTAGGGACCTTAAGAGCTCTGTGCCTAAAAATTGAGAGGAGAAATACCAAGTACATGTTTCTACTATAAATCCGAATACTTCATATATGAGTGGAAGCATATGCTACTTGTCCTGATGCTTGTCCTGTGACTGGCTTATTTGCCTTCATATAATGTCCTCAAGTTTCATCCACTTTATTGCATATGACAAGACTCCCATTTTGAAACTATAATTTCACATATATGTGCCACATTTTCTTTATAAGTTCCTTTATCAGTGGACATTTAGATTTTCACATCTTGGCTATTGTGACTATGGCAGCCATGACTTGGGGAGTGCAAATATCTATTCAATATCCTGAGTTTGGATAAATAGTCAGATGTTTTATTATGTAGTGTAAAGGGAGGCAAAGTTTTACCTTACTCATCTTGAAATTTAGCTAAGATACTAATAACAAGGCAGGTTAATGAGAGAATATTTATTAAAAACATGTGCAGCATCACACAAGATAAACCTAAAGCATCCTTAATTCAAATCTGGCACCTTAGAATTCCAGCTTACATAGCATTTTCTAAATAAATAAATAAATAATAAATTCCTAGAGAAATGATAGGGCAAAGGGGAGCAGGCAGCAAATTGTGGGGAAGTGAATACTTGGGAACAACCTGATAAAGTGAAGCTTGTTTACAGATCCTCTGATATTGTCTCTAGGCTGTGTTTGCCTTCAGTAAAAGGAGAAGTTTTGTTTTGCCTTCAGACAGAAAAGGGGGTTGCTTTTACTAGTTTTGTTGCTTAGCTGCCTTCAGCTCAAAATAATTATGTGAAAAGACATATTTTGGGGTGACATTCTGGTTTTCATCAGCTAGATTAAATGATATTTCTGTTTCTGATTTTTTGAGGAACACCATATTTTCTATGGGGACAATCACATTTTACATTCTACCTACAGTGAACAAAACTTCCAATTTTTTTATCACCCTTGTCAGTGATTGTTACCAGATTTTATAGTTGCCATCAACATGGGTGTGAAGAGATGCCTCATTGTGGTTTTGATTTGCATTTCCTCATGATAAATGAACATTTTTCATTTACCTTTTGGCCATTTGTATGTCTTTGGAAAATGTCCAAATGCTTTAGTCATTTTTAAATTGGGTCATTGGTTTTTTTGCTATATAGAGTTGTAGGAATTCTTTATATTTTTAAAATATAAAACATATTTTATATATTTATCTAACCCTGGAGGCATAAGGGTTAGAGTTACAGTGCTACCAAGCTATTGTTTAGCTAGTGAGGAATGATTCCATCCCTGACCAGGGAGGTGATGCACATGGCACAGCAGAACTGTCTCGCCTGCTGCTCCCCTCAGCAGTGTATTTCAGTCAGTTTGCCTGTTCTGCACCCCACTCTGTCTCTGATGAAGCTTCTCACCCCTGGCCCCTCTGGCCCATGCCCCAGTTCTTGTATGTAAAAATACCTAAGATAAAATCTTTTTTAAAAATACTAACTCCCCAAGTTAAAGAGCTTCTGTACAGCAAAAGAAACATTACAAAAAAACAAACAGACAGCCCACTAATTGGGAAAACATTTTCTCACACAAAAGTAGTGATAAAGGACTGATCACAAAAATATACGGAGAACTGACAAAACTCAACAAAAATAAACAACCCTATCAAAAAATGGGCAGAAGAGCTAAAAGGACACTTCTCCAAAGAGGAAATACAGATGGCCAACAAGCATATGAAAAAATGTTCAACATCACTTGTCATAAGGGAGATGCAAATTAAAACTACAATGAGATACCACCTCACCCCAGTGAGAATGGTACATCTTCAAACAACTAACAACAACAAATGTTGGTGAGGATGTGGAGAAAAAGGAACTCTCCTGCACTGCTGGTGGGAATGCAAATTAGTACAACCACTATGGAAAACTGTTTGGAGGTTCTTCAAACTGCTTAACATGGAGCTTCCCTACGACCCAGCAATCCCACTCCTAGGTATATACCCAAAAGACACAAAAACATTGATTTGAAAAAGATATCTGCACCCCCATGTTTATTGCTGCTTTATTTACTTTATTTACAATTGGGAAAACATGGAAGCAGCCCAAATGTCCAAAAGTAGATGACTGGATAAAAAAGATGTGGTACATATATACAATGGAATATTACTCAGCAATCAAAAAAGAGAAACACATGTCTTTTGCAGCAACTTGGATGGAGCTGGAAAAGATCATGCTTAGTGAGATTTACAGAAAGAGAAAGAAAAATACTGGATGGTTTCGCTCATAGCAGGAGTATAATGGACCAGGCAAGAAAATAATAAGAATAATGAACAGCCATATACCAGAGACATTTTGTGGGGGTGGAGTGGGGAATGGGATCAAAACGGGGGAGGGAAGTGTACGGGACTATGGTGATGGCACATGGGTGACTTGGTGATGGGAAACCCACAGGGATTACAATTGAGACGAAAAAAAAAATGTAGAAAATGATGTAAAAATAAACTGTTAAAAAAAAAAACTAACTCCTTAGCAGATAGTTTGCAGATATTTCCTCTCGTCCCATCAGTTCTCATTTTGTACTGTTGAACAATTTTTAAGTCCAATATAATCCCACTTTTCTATTTTTGCTTTTGATAGGGAATGCATTGAATCTGTAGATTGCTTTTAGGTTAACAATAGGGCAACAGTTTAGGTAACAGTAGTTAGGTCTTCTAAACCATAAAAAAGGAATATAGCCATTTTTTTAGGTCTTCCTTAACTTCTGGCAAGACTTTGTCATTTCCAGCACACAAGTCTTGTTCCTGCTTGGTTAATTTTTTCCAAAGTTCCTCAATTCTTTTTTTTTTTTTTTTTTTAAGATTTATTTGTGCATACAGAACTGGGGTATAGGCCAGGGGTACAGGGGCGGTGAGAAGACTCACCAGAGACAGAGTGGGGAGCAGAACAAGCAGATTGAGGGAAGTACACTGTTAAGGGAAGCAGCAGGCTAGACAGGAAAGGTCTGCTGCCCTGTGCGATATGTGGATCACCTCTGGGGCCGAGGATCAAACTAGCACTGAAGCGAACTTGGCTGTGGCCAGCCTGCAAGTGCTGCACTTACCTGTTGCATTGAGGGAGGGCCCTGAATTCTTTTCAATGCTAATTTAAATGGAATTGTTTTCTCAATTTGCATGTTTGCATTATTCACTGCTAGTGTATAGAATTGTAACTATTTTGTTGCTGCAACTTTGCTAAATTTATTAGCTGAATAGTTTTGTTTGTGCATGTAAATTTTTAAGTTGTGTTTTGTGTGGTAGGTGCTAGGATTTTCATACAATGCCTGTGAAAAAGGTATTGCCCTTAAGGAGCTCAGGTTAAACCAGCTGGTCTTTCCAATAGTTAGCACTTGGCTATGCTTGAATGTGTATATAACCCTTGTAAAATATCATCCTTTTAAAAAATGTAAAATCGTACAATAGCCACCCTCTCCTTACTCCTATACTGGAAGTAACCACTATTAATAATTAAATGGTCTCCTTCCTGTTTTCTATACATAGATATATAAATCTACATGTACTTTTTTTTTAGGATTTATTTAATTGTACATATAAGAACTGGGGTACAGGTATGTGGGTGAGAGGATTTACTAGTGACAAAGTAGGGACAGTAACAGGAAGAACGACTGAAACACTGCTGAAAGGAGCAGAGGGCGAGACAGGAGAGGTTTGGTGCGCCATGTTGGTCACCTTCCTGGCTGAGGAGTGAACTTGTG